GGCGTGGGGTGCCGGGCTGCCCCCACCCCCCCCTCGTGGGGCAGCCAGTGGTGGTGTCACTGGCTTTTCTCCCCTGCCATGGGACACTTTGCATGGGACTGCCCAGGCCCAGGCGAGGACTGCGGCATGCCAGGGAGGCAAGAGCGACGCTTCCAAATGTGGCAGGACAGAGCCAGCCTGGGGGGTTTGGCAAAGGGAAAGCAGCAAGTGTGGATGACATTCACAGGGGTTGAGGTCAACCTCATCCTTCTGGGGGAGAGACAGACCAAACCCCGGCTAACAACATTGATGGATTCATTTTGTTTTTGTTGTTGTTTTTTTTTCACCTTCCCAGGTTCCTGCAAGAATGAACTCTAGCTGAGAGCCTGAGGAATTGGAGCAAGCTGACTGCATCTGCAGCTCTTATCTCGCTCTCCAGCCCCAGGCTGGGGATGAAGTCACCTCATCCACAGGAAGGCACAGGGTAGCAGGAGAAAGCTGGTTTCCCATCAGCATCTCCATCATCTTCTCTTCCAACTCACCTATCAGAGGTCACGCAGTTACTTCCAAACTGGACTCTGAGCCCTCAGCATCTCACCCCCTTCCTGCTGGATAGGCAGAGAATAAATGCCTTACCTCGTGCCGTTAGTGCCTGTCTGGCTGTGCCAGAGAGACTGGCTGTACGTGAAGCTGTGCAGTGCTTAGCTTTGTCGGGCTTTCATTTAGCATTACCCTGGGATGTCATCTCCCAGCAGAGCACAGACCTGGCCCAGGCAGGACAGCTTCCCCCCATGCTGTCCCTACCTGCTCCCACCTGAAGGTGGGGGCAAGTCCTGCGTTTGGAGGACTATGGTCAAAAATGCCTTGTGGCAGAGGGGGCAGCCCCAAGCCAGGTACTGTGGCAGTGGATGGGTGCAACTAGTCCCTGCAAAGGTACTGCGCTGGCTGCGGACAGGGAGAGGGTGCCCATCCCCACAGCTTCTGTTCTGGGACCAGCCTCCCTCCACGAGCACTGGAGGTGGGCTGGTGCCTCACCACTTCTTCACACGGCAGCTGCAGCAGCTTGCTCTGAAATGACCTGCTCCTGCTCACGGTCCTCTGCGCCAGCCCTGGGCCCTGTGGAGCAGTAACAAGGATGAAGCTTTCACATGGGCCTGAAGGTGCAAAGTCTGTTTTTACTTGCTTTAATAGAAAACCTTTCCCCGTGACATTCCCATCACAGCACAGAGCAGACAGGGACAAACCTGTACCACTCAGTAGTGCCTACAGGGTGAGGCCAAGGAGGGAGGGACAGTCCTCTGCACACCCAAATTGGGGGCTGAGGCCTGGCACACCCACATGTTTGCACTGGCACGAGCACTGGCTGTCGGCATAGCCGGTCTCTCCCCAGTCCAACAGCCCCTGCGCATGTACCTACCTTCCCCTCGCTCAAGCCCAAGGACACCGGTACAGCAGAGCACACCTGACTGACCTGGTACAACACTTTCCTACCTGCCTAGAGTGGAGCTGCAGGAGCCGCCTGCCACGTGGGCAACGGGGTGCTGCAGGGGCTGTACCAAAATAAAGCCTCCTGCTGTGCACACTGAGGCTGTGGCATCGTTACTGGCTGGGGACCGTGCTTGCTCCAGGGCCCTGCTTTGACATGGGCTCCCATCCACGCAGGCAGCACCTTCCTCTTCCCCTGAGGAACGCTGCAGGCGTTTGTCCTCCCAGCTCAGGGCAGGCTGTGGCTCAGCGCGAGGCTGGGGTGCAGATGCACAGCCCTTCTGCCTGGGGGACATGGGGTGAGGACAAGGACCAGCCTTTCCCCCTTATTCACCAAACCCAGCCCCTGCTGGAGCTGGCCGGTCAGCATCCTTCTTCCTCCCACAGCAGCCCCCCGCCCCCAGCTCCCACACAAGACCAGGAGTCTCCTTTATTTAAATAACCAAAGGTGTACTTTTTGTTTTGTTTTTTTTTTAAAGCATGTAACATTATTCTCAACCCAATTAAAAGTGAACAGCAGACAACTGCACACAGAGGCACCGCTCCCTCCTCCCAGGCAAGGGTGCTGCAGGAGTCACCCTGTGGATCTGGTTACCCCCCCAGGAGCTCTCCTGGGCCCCTCCTGGGTTTAACCTCCATGACAGCCCTTTATCTGCCACTCTGACAAAGTGCTGGTTCAGTTCCCATCCTCCCACCCCGACCCATCCCACAGTGGGTCTGACCCCTGAGTCTGTACTGTAAGGCCCCTCCGATAAAGCCCCCGGCCCCCACCAGCACCAGCTCAGCTCGAGGGCTCGCTCCCTTGGGGACCACTGGCTCTACCAGAACTCCCTGTCCCACTTGGGGCTCGAACCACAAAATGCCATATGACCACAATTCCACCAATGCAGCCCCAGACAGGCTGCAAAAGCCAGCTGTGATGGTTACCCAAGTAGCACCAGGCAGCTTATCTCAAGGTTATACACCCTGCACCATGAACAAGAAAGCTAAAGCCTCCCTAAACCCAAGTTAGCATTGAAGGTTACCCCCTGGACCCATGGACCTGACCCAGCCTTGCTCTTCAGAGGGCATCAATGCTTCCACAGCTCCCAGCGAGGGACCCAGGAGCCCTGCTGGTGCATCACTCCAAAGCACAGGGGAAACCCCTTTATCTGAAGGGGAGAAGGAGCCCATCTCCCCCAAAGGGAGAGCTGAAACCTTCTGAGCCTCATCACACTTGCAGCTCACCCACCCTGCAGGAGCTTTACAAGCCTTGCAGCGCAGCAGCTCCAGAGATCTGCACGGAGACACGCGGGACAGGCACCATCTTTCGGCCGCTGCTGACCATGACAAGTGGCAAAAGGAGCATGACAGAGCCCTTTGCATCTGCACCAAGTACCGCAGGCACCGAGATGCCTGCTGCAAGAGGGCTGAGCCACCACCACAGCAGGGAGTTGGCATGTCACACATGGCATGTCCAGAGGTGTGCCACGAACAAGTCACATGTGAGGACCGGCTCGCCCAGGACTCTGACAGATCTGCAGCTTTAAAATCAAGCTGGTGGTAGGAACAAGTGTGGGGTTTCGTTCAGAAGATGACTAAACCGGCAAGGCTGGACAGCATTCAGCTAAGTTCCACCCAGGCTACACATGCTGGCTGGGTCAGGCTGCAGCTTCCCTCTCTGCTGCTGCACCCCTCAATGAGCAAGGGCACGTGTTCAGACGAGGCAATCAACCCAAAGAGACGCGGTAAGGCTGACCAGCCCCACACATTCCCCTTTGCAGCCCAGCTGAGGTTCTTGGCCCTAGGTGCTTCCTTCAGAAGGGAAAGGCTTGGCTCAGGAGTACTGGGGCAATGCAAAGCCCCAGCACAAGATGCTGCTGTGACAAAAGGACATGTCTCAAGGAGACAGGCCCTGCCCCAGAGACACCCATGAGCTCCACGGTGCCAGATGGCAGTGCTCTAGGCTGCCCAGGGAGGACGCTGCGCTCCCAGTGCTGCTGAAGAGCCAGAGTCTGGATTTTCACCTAATTCTCAGCCCTGTTTGAGCAGCATCAAGGATGTGCAGATACGAACTGCTGCCTGGTGGTTTCCATCTGGGACGGGCCAGCACTAGCTGAGCTTGCAGGAACACGGGTGCAGGGACACTGACGTGAGGCAGAGCCCAGCCTCCAGCCAGGTTTTCATTGTCGCCCCACGCCAGCTGCCTGAGCTGGGGGAACTCACCTCTCTGGTTATTGAGCCCTTTGGTAGCACAAGTTTGATGCCTGAGAAATTCAGAAAAAGGAGACGTTTCATTGCGAGATAATGAACCCATAAGAGAAATCCATTTAACGGGGAATCTCAGTGCTGGCTTGACACCCCATGTGTGCCAGTCTGTGGTGTTCCCAGAGTTAGAAGTCACTGCAGAGGAAGAGAAGTTCCTTCGGTATTTGGCAACAGAGAGGTCCCTTCAGCCACCACCACACAGTGAAGCCACTGGAGAAGCATCTAGGATGAGTCTTTTGCCTCGCTTGGACGGCCGGACAGCCTGAAGAGGGTCTCCCTCATGGTGTGAAAGCATCTGTCAGTGAGGTCAGAGACATCGTCTGATGTCAGGCCTTTGGTCTGTATTGGAGGCAGAACCTCAACCTTGATTTTGCCTGGGAATAAGAGAATAGCCTATGAGAAACCCACACACTCCAGGAGCACCATTCTCTGCCCTCCCAGGGCCCCCACTCCCCCTGCCCTGGACAGCCCCAGCACAGCCCTCATCCCCTCACAGGGATCCATCCCCGCGTCAGGCATCCGTCCCTGGAGTGCGGGCAGAGGCTGCACTGGTCTTGGGGGGTCAGAGATTGCTCTGGGGATTAGACGCTGCCCTCTAACAGCTGCACCAAGCAGAGTATTTCCCTTGTGCCCCAAACTGACACCCCAGCCAAAGCTTGCCCCAGCCAAGGCTGCTCTGCCCTCACCTGCCAGCCAAGAGAGCAGGGGGAGCCCAGGGCCACGGACCCCCTCAGCTCCAGGGCCACGCCGCGCACAGCCTGCACCAGGTGCTCCCTCATCTGCTGCTGTCCAACCCTCCTACCTTTGGCTGGCTCCAGCCATCCAGGCAGTGAGAGTTACTGCTCCCAGTCGACTGAAAGCCAACTTTCTGCCCAGCACTTGTACTGACAGACTTCAGAGCTTTGATATAACCAGCCTCCTCGGTTTGCGTGCAGAGAGGTCCCTGCTTTGCAAGGCTCAGGAGGCAGAGCACACTTGCTTCTTCCCCCAAGCCCTCACCAAATGACTTGGGCTGTGCCAGTTATGAGAAGGAGAGGTGCTGTCCAATTCTTAATGAAAACATCCCTCACCGTATTTAATTACATTCTTTCCTGAGTTAACCCAGCCCAGGCTCTGGTGCCAAGTGCTTTGAACTGACTCCACACATCTCCCAGAGGGACTCTGCCTGTTCACCCCAGCTCTGCTTCCACACCCTTGCGAACCAGATCTCCACACGGGTATGGATCAACCCTATCTTGGAGTGACCTTCTGTGAAGACCTTCAGGCTCTTTGGTACCTGATGTAAATAGATTCTTCTTTGGGTTATAGAAGGTGGTGAAGGAGGAATACACCACGGGGATCACTGGGACCTCGGGGAAGAAGAGGAAAAAGAGGAGTTACTTGCACTGCAGCAGCTCAGGGCAGGCCAGATCAGCAGCGAATCCCATGCAGCAGGGCTGACCTGGCCCAGCTCTCAGACACACAGGGCATGCAGCCCCACAAAGCACAACCCAGTTCCAAAGGCTGGGACAGTCAGGAGTCAAATGGGATCAAAACCACCCCCCAGCAACTCAAGGCACAGGGACATTCAAGGCACTAGGGCCAAGTTATAGTTCAGTCTCAGGTCAGCACTGGCTCTCAGGGCTCCTCATCCCAATCCAGGCATCAAAACTGAGGTATTTTCTGACCTGCAAACATGGGAGGATCTTGGTTTTGACAGGCCTTGCCATGCTGTACAAGTACAAGGCAGGCCAGAAGCTGAGGGCACACCAGCTAAGAAAGGGAGTCACCAGTGGCAATCAATTGCTCCGAGGGATGCTTCGGACAGGCAGAGACACAGCCAGGAGGGCAGGCACAGAGCATTATTTCAGAAAGCATTATGCTGACACAATCTACAACTCCAGGGGAGCATTAGCAGAGGTGGGTACCATTTCCACCATCATCCTTTCCTTCCAGCAGCTGCCAGCTCCTGCC